CTGACCCTTTCCCCCATTTGCAGGAAACTTTTCATTAGAATATTTTCAATGCTGGGAAGCTCACCTCTAAATTTTAAATGCCAGAAGGCAACCCTCCTATCTCTCAGTAAAAGATTCCCTTAGGATACGCTGAGATTGGTTACAAGTGGGGCTGCAAACCTCAAGGTCAGCTTGTTGGAAAGTAACAGCGGTTGCACAGAAGAAAGATGAGACTTTCTGCTCCTGTAAAGATTTACAGCCTCAGAAACCCTGTACAGGGTCGCTATGAGTCGGAACTGACTCCACAGCACACAACCACCACCATCCCCACCACCACTCTGAAATGTTAAAACACTAAGTAGAAAGTTTGCCTGCTGTGGTGCTGTCAAATAAGCACTAGACTAAGAAGGAGCTCTGGTACGAGTGGTTACGAGTCAGGTTGCTAATCTCAAGGTCAGCAGTTCGAAACTACTAGCTGTTCCGAAGGAGATAGATGAGGCATTCTGCTCCCAGAAAGATTTATAGCCTCGGAAACCCTGTACAGAGTCACTATGAGTGGAAACCAACTCCTTGACACACTACCATCACCACCACCAATCACTAGGTGGGCAGTTCAAACCACCAACCACTCCTTGGAAACCCTATAGATGGTCGCTATGACTTGACAGCACTAACTAACAACAATATGACATTTAAGGAGCCCTGGTGGGTGATACCGTGGTTAAGCACTCACCTGGCTGTTAACTGCAGGGTCAGTGGTTGGAACCCCCCAGAAATGGCAGTCCACGTCCATAAAGTTCTGCTTTGTCCTATCGGGCTTTTAATTCAGAACAACTCACCAACAACAGATGATTTGAAATCTGACCTTATCACCGAGCACTTTGTTGTTGTTGTTGTTAAGCGCAGTCCAGTTGATTCGAACTCATAGCAACCCTGTATAGGGTCTTCAAGGAACAGCTGATGAGTTAGAACTGCCGACTTTATGGTTCAAACAGACTTTTCGGTCCTATGCTTATCCTCCAGCGCCACACGAGGACTCTATTACCTAGTACTGTTTTTGTTGTTGTTACTTAGCGCTGTCTAGTTGGTTCTGACCCATAGTGACCCTGTATAGGGTTTCTGAGGAGTGGCTGGGGAGCCTGAACCGCCGGTTTTGTGGTTCAAACAGACTTTGCAGTTCAGCACATTAACCCAGTACTGTTGTTGTTGTTGTTAAGTGCTGCAGAATCAGTCCGACCCATGGCAACCCTTTATAGGGTTTCCAAGGAGAGGCTGGGAGCTTGAACCGCCAACCTTTCGGTTCACACTAACTTTTTAGTCCAGCACATTAACCACAATGCCACATTAGGACTCCAGCCCTGTACTAGACTTGACTTATTCAAGACGGATTCAGAAAAGGACATGCTATCCTAGCTGCTTCTCTTACTGGGAAAATAGAAGTCGTCACAGGACAATGTCCATAGACCCTCACTGCTACGATTTCCAGCGACTGTGCCTGTCCCTGAACACACTGGACATGTGGGAGACCCAGGTTCATCAGATACCTCAAATCCAACATGTGCAAGACTGAATTCTCAGTTTGAACCACAAGGTTACAACTTCAAACTCACCAGCTGCTCCTTGGAAACCCTATACAGAGTCTGTTATGAGTCAGAACCGACTCGCCAGCACTTACCAACAAGCCAAACCACTAAGAATCCTGAGTAAGTGAAGCTGACACATATTTTGAGGGCACATGATTCAATCCATGAAAGCATGGGACGAGGGATACCATTGCTGACATCAGCTGAATCATGGCTGAAAGACGTTTGTACATTATTGACTATGCAAAGGCATTCAACTGTGCAGATCATAACAAACTATGAATAGCACTGAAAAGAATGGGAATTCCAGAACACTTAATTGTGCTCATGTGGAACCTATAAATAGAGCAAGGGGCAGTCATTCAAACAGAACGAGGGCATCCTGCGTAGTTTATCAGGAAAGGTGTGCGACTGGGTTGTATCCTTTCACCATACTTATTCAATCTGTATGCTGAGCAAATAATTGGAGAAACTGAACTATATGAAGAAGAATGAGGCATCAGGCTTGGAGGAAAGCTCATTAACAACCTGTGATAAGCAGATGATACAAACTTGTTTGCTGAAAGGGAAAGGGGCTTGAAGCATTTTCTGATGGAGATCAAAGAACACAAATATCAGTATTACAACTCAATGTTGTTGGAAAGTGCCATTGAGTCGATTCTGGCCCACAGTGACCCTGTATAGGGTTTCTGAGGAGCAGCTGGTAAGCTTGAACCACTGATCTTGCGATTAAAACCAACTTTGCAGTAGAGTGCATGAACCCATAGCGCCACATGAGGACTATGACAACTCAATAGACAGTGGCGGGGGGGGGGGGGGGGGGGGGGGGGGGGGGGTGAGGGAGGGACATCAGAGAACTAAACTAATAAATAGCATTATTAAGTGGAGAAAACATTGAAACTGTTCAGGATTTCATTTTACTTGCATGATGCCTTTCTTTAGGGGACTGGTCCCTCCTGGCATTATTGTTATGTACCATCCAGTCGGTTCATAGCGGCCCTGTATAGTTTACAAGAATCAGCTGGTGGGTTTGAACTGCAGACCATGTGGTTCAAAGTCCAGTGCTGATCCTACAATGCTACACCAGGAATTCACAGTCCCTCACGGTCAGCAGTTCGAAACTACCAGTTGTTCCATGGGACAAAGATGAGGCTTTCTGCTCCCGTAAAGATTTACAGCTTTGGAAACCTTGCACAGGGTCACCATAAGTCGGAACCGACGCCACGGCATATAACAACAACCTGATAACATATCCAAAGTACAAAGCAGTGAATCTCTCCATCTTTACTGCTAAGGAGTATTCTGGCTTACTTGTTCCAGGGCAGATTTGTTTGACCCCTTTGTACTTCATGGTATATTTAATATTCTTCACCAACAAAGACATAATTTTTTTCTTCAGTCTCCCTTATTCTTTTTCCATCTTCCTTATTCACTGTCCAGCTTTCACGTTCATATTGAAAATACCACAGCTTGAATTATATGCACCTTAGTCTTTAGAGTGACACCTTTGCTTTTCAACATTTTAAAGAGATCTTTTTGCAGCAGATTTGTCCAATGCAATATGCTGGTGGATTTCTTCTATGGGGATCCGGGTAAATATGAAATCCTTGACAACTTTAATGTTTTCTCAATTTAAATAAAATTAACATAAAAGTAAAATAAATTTAAACTGTAATTTGTAAGAAGGTAGTCTGTATCAGAAAAAAATGCATCAATTTATAACTTTAAACGTAGCATCTTAGTCCAGTTGTCAGCAAAATCAACTACCTTCCTTTGTAATTTGAGTCTATGTTTCTTTCAGAAGGAGCTAAAATTGTAAAACAGGAACATGAAGTGCCTATCTGATTCTATAGTATCACTTCATTTTTGTCTAGGAGTCCTGGTGTGGTGCAGTGGGATAAAGCACTGGGCCACAAGGTAGGTTGGCAGTTCAAACTCACCAGTCGCTCCTTGGAAACCCTATACAGGGTCAGTATGAGTTGGAACCAACTCGAGGGCATTTACCAACATTCTTTATCTAGGTTCTTAAATATATATTATATACAGACTTCAAGACATTCATGAAAAAAATCCATTATCTTTCTATTCCATTTTTTCATGAACGTTTTGAAGGCTCCTCCTATACACACACACACACACAGATGCACACATCTATGTATTTATTTTCTGTATGTAAAATGTTTAAGGAAAGGAAGTGCGAAGATGGGTTCCTCTTCTAAGTGAGCCAGCGCTCTGCCAAGGAAAGCTGTCTCCCTTCCATTTTGCAAGTCTCAACAAGTCGGCTGCTGAGTCAGAACCTCTTTTTTGCCTTATGTGAGCAATCTTTCTCCCTTGGAGAAATTCATCAAGCTTCGGAAATGTGTGAATTGGAGTCTCTGGGGGGAAGGGGCGGGGAGGCTGGCATCCTGAGGAAATGGGGTCTGAGCTTGGGCGCGGGCCCAAGGTCCCACATGTATGTATGTGGGACCCCACACAGCCGCGTCCTGCCGGGTCTTGCTTCCGAGAGGCTGAAGTGAAAGTGCTGGTGTTTGGCAAGCCGCGGGAAGCTGGAAAATGAAACTAACCCGGGCGCCGGGGGACCTGGTGGCGCACTAGGTGTGGCTATCCTCAGGCACACTCTGCTGACAAGCGAGTCAGCGAAAGGTCCCGGGCTGACCCCACCGGCAGCCGGTTTTGGGGCGCCCGGCTCTGATCCCGGCTGCGTTTCTCTGGGGAACCCAGCTCTCCTCCTGGTCACTACCCTGGTCCACAGTTTCCCACCAAGTGCCTACCCCACCCAAAGTAGCCCCAGTCACAGCAGCCAGACCTCACGTGATTGAGGGCGGGGCAGAGGTGACAGGAAGGAGGTGGTGCCGCGCAGTGAGGGAGGGGCTCGTGTGCCCCCGAGGTAGGGAGGGGCCGTTGCCCAGGAACCGTCGCACCACCCTCCCGGCTCTTCCCAATGCGCTCGCGCAGCCGGTGCTCGAGACCCTGGTTAGCCGCTCCCAACCGGCCTTTCCTTTCCCCTCGGCGAGGGCGGGGCCCCTGGGCGCGCCGCTCGCTCCCGCCCTCCGCCTGCCACCAGAAGGCGCGCACTGGGCAGCGTGAGCGCGCTCCGAGGCGTGTCTGTGTATTCATGATGGGCGGGGAAGGGGAGGGGCGGTCTCGCTCCCGCGCGTGCCGGGACGCGCCGGTGGGGGCGGTGCGATTGTGAGGTGGCGCTGACACACGTTCCGGGGTTCTAAAGCAGCTAGGGCGGTGGCGGCGGAGCCGGAGCCGAGCCAGTCTCAGAGAGCCTGCCACAGTCGGCCCTCCCTCGGCTCAATCATCGTGTCCCCTGTCTCACTGAATCCCCCCATTCCTTCCATCACCTCTGTGCCGTCCCCGCACTGGCGGCAGCGGCTTCCGAGTGGGGCCGGGCCCGGGGCGCGATTTCTCCCGCAGCCGCCTGCCTGATAAATGAGGGACTTAGGGTTCAGGGTGCTGCAGACTGCTCCGTTCGGCGGCAGCAACAGCAGCCCTGCGCCCGCGTTCAGCAGCGGCCCATACTGCCCCTTGGCCGCGGTCACCGCCCCGCTGCCTGCCGCCACGCCCTTCGGGCCGCGGTCGCCGCCGTTGCCTGTCACCGGTGGCTCGGAGGCCGCCTCCCCCTTCGCCTTCCCCTTGGGCTGTGGCCGCGTCGGCCGCTTGCTAGCTTCCTCTTCCTCGTCACGGCCGGCGCACCCGCCGGCCATGCAGGATGAGCTGCTGGTGGGCCTGACCCAGCAGCCGGCGCGGCCGCTCTCGGGGGCGGTGGCCGCCGATCAGCTTCCCAGCCCGCAGCCCGGTGGCGGCGGCACGAACGCGGGTGTGACCCACCTCCTCCCCTCCCAGGACTTCCAACCGAGTCTGCACCTCCCCGCCTCCTCCTCCGCCTCCTCCTGCTGCTGTGACCGCACCTCCTCCCCGCAGGACTTCAGTCAGCAGCCGCCGCCGCAGCAGCTGAGGAGCCAGAAGAGGAAAGAGTTCAGCCCCCCGCGCCTTCCCCACCCTCCGGACTTGCCGCTCCTCCAGCGCCCGCCGCCCCAGCCGCCCTTCGGCCGCCCGCACCCGCCGCCGGACTTGGTCCCGCGGCCGCGTCGAGCCGAGTTGCCCCCTCTCCCGCAGCTCCCGCCGTCGCCGCCCGCAGCCCCGAGGCGCCGCCACGGAGGCGCGGGCAGCCCCCGGCAGCCCCCGACCGCAGGCGACGGCAGCGCTGCTGAGTCCCCCAATGCGGGCTTGGCAGCCTCGACGACGCCGGTGAACTCCGCGCCGGGCTCCATGGAGTCCCCCAACCACCCTCTGCTCCCCAGTCCCGGCCATCTCCTGCCCGGCGCGGCGCTGGGCGCGGGCGCCTTCAGCAGCCTGCAGAGCCC